ATTTGAATAAATAATTGAAAATAAAAATTAATTGTTTAAAAGTAAAAATGTTAAGTTATGAAAATAACACCAACTATAACAATATTAACATTTCGACAAAAAAAAAAAAAAAGAACACCAAATAATATCGAGAATAGGCATCGCGTAAGGCACAGAGACAAGGAGAATTAGGGGTTGTTCCCATCTGTTTCCGTCCCCTGATATGTTTATTATTCATACATGTCTCTGGTGGTTGTTTGGTTTTTGGTTACAGAATCATTACTTTTGATACCTACATTATTATATTGTAAACTTATTATATTCCTATTATTATAAAGATAAATACTACGTGAGCAGTACTACGTAAACGGGTGGTACCACAACAATACTTTCATTGGTAAGGTTTTCAAAATAAATTACCCAAAGTGGAATGGGTTCCTTTTCATCACCACTCCACGAGAAGCCCAATTTGAGGTATTCTTTGCCGTATTTTCGAGTCTTCCTTGCTTTTTTGTTAACCGGTTTTGAAGAAGTTTCGTTTTCGATAATTTCATGTTCGTTCAATTTCGTTTACTTTGCGTTTAGAACATCCGGGTTGCAACCAGCGATCCATAATCTTGATTATTAGATATACACATTATATTTTATAAAAATAAATAAAAATAATACAATTAGAAAAATCGTACCGAAAGCTAAAAGGAGACACACGCGATATCAGTTCAATAGCGACTGAAGATTTTTACTTGAATGCCCGGGGAATCACGGCGCCAAAAATTAACATATATACAGGAATAACAAATTTTGAATTTTTTTTAATGTTTAATCACAAAATAGTTAAAAGTCTGCTGTACCAGCCGTAGGAAAAGTTCAATGCAACGTGTACCCCCATCAAACTGTGCCTGTACCCCTGGTGGTACGCGTACTACAGTTTGGGAAACACTGGTCTAGTGGGTCGTTTGTAATTTTTAGGTCTTTATTCTCGTTAGTGCGTTCTTCACTATATCGTTCTACAGTACGATTATTTAACTTGTATTCGGTTATCCCCTATTTCATCTAGAAGTTGTTAAAGTTTTTCGTAGAATTTACCTTTCTCTTGATTTATTTCGTCCTTGTTAGGTGCGTAAGTACATATCAATAACACTTATTAATTTTACGAAGATTAGGATTAATTAGGATAAAAAGCGATTTAAAGCAAATGTATTTAGTATTTAATATTTTGAAAGATTACTTCATTTGTAAATAATGTGCTCCATCTATTGCGCAATTCTCATAACGATGTGACATGACGCATACATAACCTCACTCCGTAACAGCAATCTGTCATTTTGACACATAGCATCAGTTTATGGTTATGTTTACTTATAATATCGGTGTATTTTAATCTAAATAATGAGTGAAGATTTAAGCAAACCAAGTGTGTTAATAGTTAGTAGTAGTAGCACTAAACCAAAATCTCTTTTAAAGTTAATAACTAAAGAAACAGTAAATTTATCAGAAAGTGTTGATAAAGTATCAACATCCTGGATTTTGGATACTAAATACTACAAAGCTAACGTCAACGTACATGGAATAACGAAAGATTATAAAAGGGACAGCGAATTTAATAGTTCCGTTGAAGCTTTAATAATTCATATAGATACTAATAAAGAATCTGGTTTAGATGATTTAAAAGTTTGGCAAGATTTAGATGATGAATGTAACCCGGAGATTAAATTATTAATAGCTAATTATTGTAATAACGATACTAAAATTTCTAAACCGATGGCAATTGAGTGGTGTCTTCGATACGGATATGAATTAATCGAGCTTTATCCCAACAATGAAGACAATTTGGAACAAAATGATGAGATTATTAAAGAGAAGGTTGGCGTTGAGCGGATTGTCGAAGCTTTACAAAGCCATATTTGGCCTAATTTAGTGATGAAAAGTAAAGAAATTGATAAACCTTTGGAAAGTAATGAGAATAATGCTGAAAATAAGTTAGGGGTTAACAAAGATTTAGATAACCTTTTAAATGGAATTGATAGTTGTATGTCTCAAATGGACGATTTTACTAATTTGTTTTCCAAATTGCAAAGCATGAAGGAAAGTATTCAATCTTTACCTCATAATGAGCGCAAATTGCAAGCTGAAGAGCTGGTTANTCCCCGTAAGGTATAATTGACGATAAATTTTTGAATTCAAATTCCATCTTTTGCAATTAAAGTCTGGATGACATAAAACGAAATATAACCAAGTTTTACGTCAAATATCCTCAAGGTACCAAAGTTAACGCAAGAAGTTTGTTAACTCTTGCAGGTAAAGTGGTCTTTCTGAGCAGTGTACAACAAAAATTGATTAAGATAAAATGTTTGTTATGTTCAATTATAGCGAAATGCCGAATTTTATTAATTTAGGATATAAACGCAAAATGCAGATTTTTAAATCATAAGATTAACAAAACATTTTCGATCTAAACTAAATTAACATAAAAGCTTATTCAATGATTAAGAATTTTATCCATGTTGCAAGTTGGGAATATATTAAAAATTATACCAAAAATATATACTAGAAAAAACTTCTTTAGCTTGCTTTTATTTAAAAATATATCGAGACTAGTTTCGAGGTTACACCCTCATCTTCAGTCGAAACTAGCAAAGACGAAAAAACGAAAAACACATTAAAATATTAAAATAAAA